AAAAAATTAGTGAAGAGGTAAATATTAATCAAATAGAAAAGTTTTACCAAGGAGCTGCTCTTCTTAGGGCCCTTGCTCTCAGAATCTTTCCTTCCCCAACTATTACGAAATGCATGTCCAATGCGATGTCTGGTAGAGCGGTGATTTGAAGAACAAGCTAGGGAGGATGCTGCATTTCTATTAGGATAGGGACACATGATCGGTTCCTTGGTATCCAAGAATTGCAGCTGCTCATATTTTCTCCTGTTTTCCAAGTAGAATCCCACTTTAGAACAAAAGAGGTTGTTGCAAAATGCTAAGACCAAATAACCTATAATTACCTAATGAAATCAGAACGCTCCTCTATGGAAGAGTCTGGTTTTGGTTTTCTGAGGTTACCAGGAAGACAAGCTTCGTACTTCTTGTTTGCTGTAGTATTACCACCCAGACCTGCCAGGGCATCAACTTGTTCATCTGTCCAGTCATCTAACTTCACAGATAGAACCTGGCATGATTTTTGATTGAATTAGGAAGCTCCGTAACAGAGAGAGAAAGTTCTCCAATTAGCCAACTGTTTTTACCCAAGGTTTACTCAGGTTATTATCCTTCCCTTAAAAGCAGCTAAAATGAATTTTCCTTTTCTGTTATTCTTTTTTTAACATTTAGAAACGGGAAGGAGGCAGGGCTTTGGGGCTAATGGACCTAATGTAATTTTCATCTTAATTGAATTGAGTAGGACTTAAATTGAATGTGGCCATATTCATAGATTTTTTTAAAAAAAAAAGAAGGAAAGAGCTGCCAGACTAGCAACATGGGATTCAGCTTCTGATTATGCTACTGGATTTTTCCACTTCCACACATTGTTTACATTTCTCTCTCTTTGACATTCTGTAGATAGTAACATATCTAACTTAAACTGAACTACAAGTACCTCAACCATGCTAGAAAGTACGAGACAAAACATATCTAAAAGAGTTATTATGAAATTCTGTTGTTCACGACAAGGTTAGAGATTGTCTACCTTTGATATATGCACCCCAAGGCTTCTATGTACCCCAGAACACTTGATACAGATAAATACTCCAAGACTTAATGATCTGATATCCACGAAAAGAAATAGTCAAAACAAGGTGAAGCCCAGGTTAAATATGTGATGAAGATGCCCTAACATGAGTTAATGCCATCATGAATTGTGGAAGGGATCATACTCTGAACCTTCTCTATTAAGAACTCAAATAATGGCAATTGGGAGAGAGAGAGAAAGAGAAATGCACAGAAATCAAAAGTGCAAGAAGAATGCTAGTAGAAGCTTCCTTATTTGTACTATTAGAAAGCAAAATACACACTCTTCAGCTCAGTATCAGCATATGCATGATTAAGCATGCAAGTAAAAATTTAAAAATTCTTAGTGTATACCCTCATGCGCATATTTCAATGTTTACATAATATTAGGTGTTCATGATGCATGATTGACATTTTCTTAACAATTTATTGACACCCTATTGAATATCAAGTCCAATACAAAAAAACATTAAAAAAAACAAAGCAGAAAACAGAGGTAAACAGTATTACACTTAACAATCAACACATACACTTCACCTCTATTTAATCTGAAGTTCTCTGCTGATGTGAGTTAATCTTTATCCAAAAGCTACCATTTAGTGAACAAACAATACTTACACCAATTTTGAATCAGGTGGTCCACAATTCGTGCACTTTATTGTGTACATAAGTTGTTACATGTTCATGAGGCCACATTGACAATTTCTTAAAAGTCTACTGATACCTTACTTAACATCACTTGATCAACACAAAAACAAAAAAAAAAGGAAAAAGCAAAAAAAAAAGGTAAACAGAATATTACACTTAACCATCAACACATGCACTTTGCCTCTATTTAATCTGATTTTTTTCATGTATTTCAAATCTTATCTGGGCGAGCAAATCTTTATCTAAAAATTATCGTTTCATGAACAGACAATACTTACACCCATTTTGGATCAGGTGATCCACAATCTGCGCAGAATTTGTTGCCAGACTGCTTCAACAGTTTCTCAAGCCTCCCCTGGGTACCTAATTGAACAAAATTGAACTTCATCAAGTGATACCCCCAAAAAAGCTAAGAGAAAATATAAAGTCAATCCCTAAGCCATCTCCTAACCCCCCAAGAGTCTTAGAAAGAGAGATCATTAGGTTTACAAAAGCTGGTAAGAATTTTTAAATTGTTAAATGAGGTCAACCATTTGAGTTCTAATAAACAGTTGCAGCTGACTATTAGCTCCATCCATTATTGGCTTCAATTTAATCTTTTTTAAAGAAAAATAGGAACAAACGGTTTCAAACTTCCTTAGTTTGGTTGAAGAGCAAAGAAGTCTAACACATTACAGCACCGAATTTTAGTCTTTTCATCTCTGAATGCTCTTGCAATAATATGTCATCAGACAGGCTAAATTTTTAAAAATTCCTTTCAGATAGAAAGACAATAGCATCCAAGGGTTTAGTTCTTTCCTGATTTGCATGGTAAAAAATTATCCTTCAGCAGATAAAAGATTGCAATTACAAACTAGTGAACAAAATCTGGATCCATGTGATTATAACAGCTGTATCTGCTAGTTTTCTTTAGTTTTAGACCAAATAGTTAGATGTAATGGCTGCAGGGTCACTGGACTGATCTGAATAGTCACAGCAAGAGGTTCAGATAATAAAGAAAATATACGAACATCACTAAACACCCATCCATCAAATAAATTGCAGCTAAAGGCCCCAGAAAAAAATATGGCAAAAAGGCACAATGCACCTAATTTACGGATTTTCTCTCCAAGAATCAGTCTACATCATTTCATGGAAGGGATAAACTTATGCTCTAATATGCAACTTAACAACATCAAGCCTTGGGGATTCAAATTTGCAGTGAACTTCATCCCAAAAAAGGAAAGAAGTTGGCTATGATTGGATGAGAAAAGAGGTGGGGTGAATCGATCGCGCAGTATGTCACTGAGCAGTTTCATGGGCCTCCAGAAGGTCCTCATTTTGGATTCACTGTTTGCTTTACTCTGAAATAATGTAAAGTAGCTCCTCATGGATCCAGGACCTCTAAGACTTAAGCATCAGTTTGAAAGAGTATTTCAGACATAAAATCAAAGCTCAACATACCAGAAGATGTCTTTTGATCCTTTTGATTCCTCCAACTTGGTGCATCTGAGCACAGAAGATCATACAGGCAGGACTCCGGTTCTTCTAGTATTAAACGTTTAGCCAATAAAAAACACCATCAATGAGTAACAGGCACAGGATGATTATGAACATTAATTCATCAAGGGGAATTTGTCCTTAATATCAAAAAAAAATTATACCAGAAAGGAAAATAAACCAACAAGCTAAAAAAGCATGAGTTTCAAACAACAAAAGAATCATGCTGCCAGCAAAATTAATTAGTCATATTTAATGAGAAACTCTCTCATGCATTACCCTCCCAATGACGATAAATTTTGTCCTACTTGATACAAGCATTTTCTCATAAAATAGTTATGACATGTGAATACAATGAACTGAGACAACATTATTATTTACTATTGACTGAATATATACGCTCAAGTTCCACAAGGTCCCTCAGTCAAAGTTGGATAACATACACAATCAGAAGCTATACAATGATGGAAATAAATTAAGCAGCTAAAATTGAGAAGCAAAAGCTTTTTCACCATAATTAGAGGTCAAAATCCATAATTCACTAGATGAGAAGCCACATAAGAGGCCTAAACATTAATCCTCTCTATATCAGATAAATGTTACACACTCTTCAGCAGCATATTGCACCAAGTTATTTTCTTTTTTCTTTCTTCGGAAACCAATTGACATTAGGTTATGTTTCCAATGCTCGACAACCAAAGGACATACTAACAAATGAAGATGAAAATCAGCAGTTGATTCTGCAACTTCTCATTTGTAAAAGGTAACCCACTACAACTACAGCTTTTAGATGAGCTTATGAAAAAAGCACTTGTACTGGAATGTCAAAAATATGCCAATGCACAAATGATAAACACCATATAACAAGACATTGCAAGCAAAAAGCAATAAACCACAGTAATATTTATTCTACACAAGCATCAGATGCAGTGATCTAGGGAACAGGTAAAACAACCAATACAGCATAAATGGCATTCCTTTCAAGCCTTGAAGAAAGGAAGACTTTAGAATCTCCCTTTAGTAGGCCAACATAAGATTGCAAGAGAGCAGGAGGGTATATCCTACGAATGTACCAAGATTCTCAATGATTCACTAAATAATCTGTTTTACCTTTTTTTCCCAAATCACTAAAAAGCAATCAAAGTCCTTTTGATATTCAAATAAATTACAAGCCATCTATGTTTTACCACACATTGCCCTATAATCCATACACCACATGCAGCTGAACTGCAACTTCTCAATCCATTTGCCTTAATTCTCTTTCTAAATATCAGAAATGAGAAGCTTTGCTTTCACTAAACCATCAGTTGGACAGTAAATTGGGCAATGTGCTTACTATCATAGTTATTCTGATCTATGACTTCTTTCAAAAACGTTACTATGATTTACTTGAATAAATTAATGGTTTCTCCCAGAAAAGTTGGTTTTCTGCAATCAAATCTCATTTGGCCATTAGAGGATCTGTTGTCAGTTCCTCCTACGGAATTTTTCAGAATGACAAAACACAGCAGGAAGAGATCAAAGAATGTTCTTTCCAGTCAAACTGGATCTGCCAAAAGGAAATCAACGATCAAAATCAAATATTACCTTCATCATTGACTGGTTCAAAATTTTCTTGCTGGGTAGACATCTCCAGCCTCTAAAAATGACCCAAATCATGAATATCCACAGCTGCTACAATCTGGGGATAAAATCTGCCTCAAAAACAATATTGGGCACCCAGAAAGACAAACGATTTCACAAAAATTCCAGGAACATGCATCTGTTAGGCCTCTTAGAAAGAAAATGAAACAACCCAACTAAAATGAACAGAAAATGTAACAGTAACAACAATCAGAGGGTCCTCACAGATAATATCATTGAAGGATTTCTCAATCAATCTCCTTCCTGAACGCCAAACACAAGGAAGGAAAAATCAAATAAATCCTGAATCAATACATAACTAACAACAGGAAACCAACTAAAACAATAACACCCATTAAAAAGAAAACTTACAATAAAAGAAGAAACTAAAGAACGTAATGGATTTTCAGAAGGGAATCCGATTGGAAGCTATAAATTCTTCTAAATTTGATATAATTTCAAATCAAAGGAAAAACATGGAGTGTGATTTGGCCAACAAGAGGGAATATTTGTTTGTGATTATTGTTTGGGAAGAGAACAAAATTGGAGATTCAATTCAAAGAAAAATTATGGTAATGGAATGATGAGGAAGAATCTGCAAATTGGTTCCTTCTTCATTTTTCTAATCTTTTATTGTTATTTTTCAATTATTAGAAAGAATGGGAGACGTGCCTCCAAAAAAAGTCAAAGATGGGATTTTGAGGAAATGGAGTCTTTCTTGGTCATAATTTCGTGAACAAACGCTAATGCCGTCCTTATCCCACGCGCTCTATACTCACGCGCGAGATTAATTTTATTTTCTTTTAAATCAAATACAAATATAAATCTAATATTTATTGTATTTCTTTTTTATTGAATGTTATATTTCCTTTTTTAAATAAATAAAGTCTACAATCTAACATTATATTATACAATATTAGTGAAATTATAGGCCAAGGTCTCACCATTTTCCTAAAATTTCTAATTTTAATGTAGATAATTTATTTTTAAATAATTAAATCGAATAATAAATTAATTTGATGTATGAATAAATTATTAATAATGTTAATTGTATTGTCAAAATTTCGTCGAATCTAAATGATAT